TCTTCCCTTGAAGAAAAATAAAATGTCTAAAAAAATCAAGCCACTTTGCCTTAGTTACCCTGTGTTATTGTTCTCCTTTCTTGGGTTTTGGCTTCTTCCTCCTCTTCCTTTGCCTCTAGCGCTGTCGGAGGCCTCTAATCCCCTCCTTTTTCTTTCCTCATAAAATCCCCTCCTCCATCTTTTCCCATTTCAAGCATCTTTAAGCAACACACTGCAAGATTTTTCCACAAATTGTTGCTTTCAGGGGCCCTATGGCCTCCTCGAATTTCCCTTAGTTACCTTCCTCCCCCATATTGATGACTAACACCAAGCCACTTCCTCCTCTATTGGTGCTTCCCCATAGCCTAATTTTTCCTTAAACTATAAAAACCTTCTCACTTCCAAAAACCCTAGTTCCACATCCTTTTCACTAAACTTTGTCAAATCAATGGACAATACTGCTCATTTCTCAGAGGAAAAGGCTATTGATGGTGCCAAGGAATGGAAACTTTCCCTCATTAATTGGGTATGATATCGGCAAAAGACCCTTTTATGAGATGCTTCTAGCTACAATTAAGAAGGTTTGGCAATTAAAAGGTTCCATCTCCTTGATCTCTATAAATGATGCATGGTTTCTTCTTGTTCAAATTCATCACTATGGAGGACTAAAATATGGTCTGGAACAGGGTTCCTGTGGTTTTTTTTTTTTCAGTAAACATTTCATAATTAAAAAATGGTATGCTAATTTTGTTCCCAAAAGAGACGAGTTCTCTTCTTACCCATATGGATGAAGTCTGTTTATCTTTCGTTATATTGCTGGAGTCCCTGAGACATTTAAAAAATTGTGAGTTTGGTTGGTCCTCCTCTTGCAGTTGACACACTTACGGCAAACAATTAAAATCATACTTACTTTCGCTCATGTGTGTATGCATATTAATAGAACCTCTAATTGTTTCGGCATGAAGTAAATATCATCATTGTGGGAAAACCCTAAACGCTCTGTATCCTTTATGATTGGAAACCCTAATCTTGTTTTGATTGTGATTCACTTCTTCACCAACCTAGCCTATGTCCCACCAATCCCAGTCTCCTTGAAATGTGAGAGGCTTTAATGGTTTTGATAGTGTTCGTATCTGCTCAAACCTTATTAAAACTTTCAAACTCGGTCTTATTTGTATTTTAGAAGCAAAAATGAATTCCATTAACCATTCCGATCAATGGTTCTTCTCCTCTCACTCTCTCTTCCATATAGAAAGCAACTGTAACAATTTTTTTTGAGCAACTCATGGACATATCTGAATTAACTAGAATAACACAACATTGGAATTTCCCCTTCCTTTGTGGAGTCCCAGCTCATTCACGGTATTGTTAATGTTGGCTATAATAAAAAATATTTTATGTTCGCAATCAATGCTTTCAACTCTCCTTCTAAAAGAAGAAGCTTATGGAATAGCCTATCTAAAGTTGCTTCTGATTTAGCTGCATCTCCCTTGCCTTGGGTTATGCTTGGCATCCAATACAAAAAAAAAACATGGTGGTAATATTGTGTCATCATCACTTTTTTGGGTATTCAATGAGAAGATTTTAGCAATAGCCTAATTGATATGGCTTATGTGGGGCAGCATTTTATCTAGTTTAATAATCAAACGGTATTCCTATTAAGTTGGACCATGTCCTTGTTAATGACAACTTTTTTGCTAGAAATGATAATATGACATCATTAAAAAAGGGATGGTGATGGCTTGTCATCGTTAAAACTTTTGATGGACTTCACCATCTAGTTCAGAATTTCCTCTAGTGTCTTTTGGTCAATTGGTTTTTTTCATTGGACTTTTATTTGTCATAGTTTTCAATATGTATTCATCAAAATTCCACTAGTAAAATTTATCGTGGCTAAATTAATCGTTGCAAATGATTTCCAACAGTGCATTTATCAACAACTCAAATTATGTCAGAAATCCTTTTGAAACTTAAAAATTTAATGTATTTTTCAATTTTTTAAATGAAGTTTGCATGAAAATTTGACAATTTTCTTATTGCACGACATCACGAAGATCTAATATAATTACAAAAGATCAAGTTTGAATTCACTATTTTATTATCACGCCTTTTCTAATTAAGTTGAAGATTTGACCTTATGAAGTTTGTTTAATAAGTAAATCATTTCATCTAAGCCATGACCCATAAATTTTTTCCTTCATAGGGTTTTTAGGTAAAAAATATGGTGCATCTTACATTCTTCACTTATTATTTGTGTGTGTACAATATCTTCATGTAAAGCTAGGAAATAAAACTATCTCTCTTTCACAATGATTTTTTTAGCATATAATAATTTTGTGTCATTTATGGGAACACATCATAATATCCTAACAACTAAATTTCATTGGTTGATGGAAGTAATATCCATAATACTATATTTTCTCAATCTAATACCCATAAAATTGTATAGTAGTCCCACAACCAAGGACGTCATGTAACATCCCAAGATTTGAAGTGGAAGAATTTTAATTTTTTTTCTCTTTATTATCTTTTCAACTCATTCTATTTATTTTTCTTTTACTTAACAACCAATAATCATTCATTTGCATACAAATAAATTTGACATCTAGAGTTGATTAATTATGTTAAAGAAAATAAATAAATAATGAAAATATAATTCATATTACGACAATCAATATTTACATTCCGTAGTCAGAGTCGAAAATAATATGTATAATAGCCATCACAGACTACAAAAGAATATACAAAACCAAAGAACTTAAAATAATATTTAAACATCATTACAACTAAGCTTCAAATTGTAGGTTCTTTATCTTTACATAAAATCAAATAAAATCATATAATGAGCTTAAAAGTCTAAGTAGTTTCAATCATTTAAATAACTAAAAAATCTAAGTAGTTTCACTCAAAAAGTCGTAGAGACTTCAAACACACTCAGTTCATCTTGGATTTTTAATTAATTAAAAAGTCTTGAATTTAGTCTTGTATATGAAATATGTAAATAAAATTGGTTTAATTGAAATAAATATATAAATAAAAAATAAATAAATAAAAAAACGTCAGTCGCAGCGGCCCGTTCGCATCCCTTCGGGGATTTCCGATCCACTGCTTCTCTTCCCACTCCTACAACTAAAAAAGCCGCATAAACCCTGTCCCCTTCTACCTCTTTCAATAGAAGGTGAGATGAAAGCCTCAAGAGCTGCAAGGCTCTTGATCTCTTACTCTGTCCTCTCCTCCTCGACCTCGCGCCTCAACGTCAATCCCTTCTTTCGATCCTTCTCCTCTGCATATCCTGAGAAAGTCTGCGCGTCCTCCGAGGACGACGCCTCGCCGGACTTCGATAGCAGAGAATTCTCTCTCCCTTCTTCATCCTCAACCGCCACCTCTGTTTACTCTTCTTCTGTTGGAAAAAAGAAGAATCCCCAACTCTGGGATGATAAATATCGGGCGAAAGCCGATCGTGCCCTCTTCGCCCGAGCAAAACCATCTCGCTCGCAGGATGAGGAAGAGGAGAACGAGGAAAAAGAAAGGGCGAATGTGCTAGCGAAGGCTCTTCTTGAGGCCGCTTTGCTGCCTCCGGACGATGTTGATGATGAGAACATGATAGTTAAGGAGGAGGACCAGAAATCGCTCTCCGTTGGAATCGTTGGTGCTCCCAATGCCGGAAAGTCATCCCTTACTAATTCCATGGTATATGCCTGCTAATTTTGCATGACATTTTGTTTTTGTATTCAAAATTTCAGATACAAAGGAAGCTATATATCTTGATCCATGTCTTATATGCAATGCCATTTTAATGGAGTGTATAGGGAATTTGGTTCAGACTAGGGTTCTAGGCAGTAGGCACTCATCGGTTCATGTATTACCAAAATAATTTGTCCTTTTTCGTCTTTTCGTTTTTCTATTGCATATGATGACTTTTACGAGCTTGTTCAGACAAATTGACATGTATCAAGATATAGACGGCCACTACTCGGTTTCCCTCACTCCGATTGTGCCGAAGCTAGCGCGCTTCAAGTTATTCCTTGTTACCCCTGCTTTTTCTTGGGTTCTTTTTGGTTTGAAGGAATTGAAACAGAGGAAATGAAAAGGGATGGAACTAAAAATGTTAAAACAGTTGAATTGAGATTGGGTTTCACTCACTTGTTTTGTTGAGGCGAATTTAATGAAAATAGTTTTCTTTGTTTTTTTGGTTTGTTAGAAATTGAGTTTTTTATTTTTGCGAGGAGAGGACATCCTAGTCACAGCAATAACATTATAAATTATTTCCATTTTTCACTAGAGCTGGACAGGGAATAGACAATGGAAAAAATGCATTTGTTCACCCTTCATTGCTATATCTAATTTGATATTATATACATTAGAACCAAACACACATAAGAAAATTGTGAAGTAAAATTTATTTGCATTACCTCAAAATCCTGCAAACTATGTGCATAGTGTATTCACATATGGTGATGTACTGCTAAGTACTCATTTGATATTTACTGTTGTGCTGCCACCTGCTAACAATTGTTGAACCCTTTTGATTTTATGGTGACAAAACAGAAATATTAAGCATAAATAGCACACTCAAATGGCATATCCAACATCTATTGATGAGCTAACATGCTTTGAATGATGCTTTTAAGGCCAATTTATTTATTTATTTTACTTTCTTAGTGGTTATAAGCATTCGTTTTTTTTATTATTCAATGCTATTATGCCTTGTCTTATTATACTTATGTAGGTTGGGACAAAAGTTGCTGCTGTCTCAAGGAAGACGAATACCACTACACATGAGGTCTTAGGAGTGTTGACCAAAGGAAATACACAAATAGTATGTACCTTGTTTTGATTTTTTAGACCAAAGTATTGAGAATAAAAAATTGTTTGTTTGCTTCTCCTTGGTTGTGCTCCTTGCTCTAGCATGATTTATGCATGATTTTGTGTTCCCATAGAATATTGGATTTCTCCTCTTAGATAAAAATTCTTTTAAACTTGTGTTTCAAATAATTTGTGGTTATAACCTATAACTGATTGTGTTTGAAGTTTGATTGTTGGTATAATTTAGGATTGAATTTTGGAAATTATGGGTCCTTAGAAAGTTCTGTAAACATCACTCAATTTTTAGATTTTAAGATATAGTTCTTTATGAGCTCTAAAACTCATCCAACTATGGAATGAGCTGTGATCTAGGTTGGTTTTTAGGCGGTGAATTTGGCTTGAGGATTCCAATGGACCCAAGCTCTCTAATGAGTAATGAAAATTACCCCTCTATCACTAGAGAAAACTTTAAATTAAGGCTAATCTCTAGATTTTTCAAAATTTTGATGTGATGGCTTTTAGGAATGTTTGACGTACTATAATTTTTAAGGCATTGAAAATATTGCCACATATAGGCCTTGTAGAGATGGAAGGAGAAAAGATAACAAGCCGAACCATGATCCCATGTTTCAATCATCTCATATTTGTATTTAATTAGAAGAGGCAATCATTGAAATTTGGGTGGAGGATCTTTAGTGGCAGCCATGAGTTGCATTTTTTTGAAGGGACTAGATAGATTAAGGAAAAGTTGGATAGAGGATCTTTATTGACACCCATCTTTGAGGAATGATATTTGGAATGTACGTTGACTTAAAAAAGGGGTAATTCACACAACTGGTGGACCCCTTTAGTTATGATCATCAATAATCATGCTCATCCAATGGGATTGAGATGCCTCAACATATTTGGTTTTGAATTCAAGGGCATTGTTAGTGTTAGTAGCTCTTCAAATTGCGATTTGCAATAACCACACTCATCATCTAGGTTGTGCAACCTTAGATTCAAAATTGAGGGTTAAGATTTAACTATAGGCTTCTTGAACCATTAGGGAGTTCTCTTCAATTCATAGATTTGTCGAATCAGAGAAGCTATAGAACATTGGTTTAGCCATTAGATATATTGAATGGTGGCCTAACTTACATTCCCATTTTTTGGCTTGTTGGAAAGGAGGGTTATTAATGATTGTTCCATAGTCCAACCATGTTTATATTGTTCAGCCTTAAGCTAACAAATTGACAATTCTTTAATATTTTTGGCTCAATTCATTGCGGCTTTACAAATCTAGAGTTATTCTGGCTCAATTATTGAAGTTTTGACATGCTAAAGAGATTGACCCCAAATATTCTCAAACTAGAGCACCTGAGGTTTGTAGAGTTGATGGATCCTTTGGTTATAATGTTTTATAAATGTGTCATTTATTAAGGGAGGAGCCCTATACTATATGTTGATTCAAAAAAAAGGAGCAATTTCTTGTTGGTGGACCATCCTTGATAATCATACCCATTATGGAGCATTGGGATTCCCTAGTATATGTCTTTGAAGTTAAGGAGCATTGTTGATATTGATACCCTTTTGGCTATGATCTATGATCACCACACCTATCATTAGGGTGAATCAAAGTTGAGGCCTAGTTGGGTTGATGGATTTGGTCCAACCATAGGTTTCTTGAATCCTTGTGGACTTCTCTTCAATCTATGTTGTTGGAGCTTCTTAAACTAGATAAACTATGAAACACTAGTTTGACCATAGGGTGTGTTGAATGGAGGCTCGCTTTATTTTATCCTACTTAGTGTTAATCTTCTAGATTGGTGAACTGGCAATTATTTCACTTGTTTGGCTCAACTTGGCCAGGTTTTACAATCATGGAGTTCTTCTTGCTTATGATTGTCAAAGTTTTTTTTTTTAATGAAGAGATTGATCCCCGAGGTTCTCGAATTTGAGCACTCCAGGTTTGCTGAGATACTAACGTCTCTAATTATAACCTTGTTATGATTGTACTTGTCATTGAGGGAGGAGCCCTGAAATATATGTTGACATGAAAAACAAACAATCTCTTTAGTGGTTGAGCCCTCTGATTATTATCCTCAATAATCATACCCATTATTGAGGTGGGGAGTTGCCCACTTGAGCACTTTGCTTAATTGGAAGAGAGAAAATTGGTGGCAAAACATTATTGGAAACCTCTAGTTATTATTTGCAATAATAAAATCATTTGAGTGATGATACCTTGGAGCATTTATGTTTGGCATTTGGGGATGATTTTTTTATTTTGAACATTTTGATTATGTTCTTTTGATAACTTCGGCTATTATTGAGGTTAGTATGCCTCCGCTTGTGATGTCAAATCAACATGTCTTGGAGCAAATGTTTTGCTTATTTCATGTAAAGATCTTAGCTCTAAAGTTGGTCACACTATTTTAATTTTCATGATAAAAGGTCAATTTCTTAGGTCTTGTGTTTTGATTTGATGGTTTTAGCATGTGAGCACACAAACTACAATTGTTGATGCTTGCAATGGTTCATCATTGTCACTTAATTTTTTTTTCAATGTTATTGAAATGTCAATTGCATGGCAGAAGATGCCTCAAAAAATCCAATTTGCATTGCCTGATCAATTGTGGCTTATAAGGTGCGGTCTAGATCTTTGGTATAATATATCAATTTGGTTGGGTACGTGGGAGGTTTTGTTTTGCTTGTCTTGTACAATTATTGGGCCATGGGCTATGCCAACTCTATCTCCTATTCGAGGATTAGGTTCAGGATGATCCTTCATTTTTCTTACTGTTTATACCCGACTCTATCTAATTAGTAGCTGTTATATTGTATACTAATCACTGTCATCTGTTTCATCACATTTATATTTTAATTTCTATAAGATCGAAAAAGTTTCTAGTAGTAATTTTATTTCTTTAATTGCTCATGTTAGTCTCACTATATTTGCTATTATGCATCAAAGGACTTTGTAGAGCTATAGATGTTTTAGGAGTTTTTATTCATTAAATGCCAATTGAATATTTCATCTCCAAAGCATATTTATCTATTTAGCTATCTTCTACTTATACATGTTCTGTTTTTATTAGGTTTATTGCATTACTACAACTTTAATCAAGTTGTGCTCTATCTTATATGGATTCCCATGTCTTCAACGCCTTGGATAATTATAAAATGGTGGGCATGAGGAGAACTTTTCTGTCTTAATATTTTATTTAACTCATTAAAAGAATATTTGATGGAGTTGTGACTAGTCTCATAATTTGTTGAGTGACAATATGAATTTATACAAAATTAAGTCTATATTAATGATCAACAAATTCCTTTTTTTTAATTGTGCTGCTATTTCTCATTACGAATGATATTTGGAGTCTTTTGTGCACTATGTGGAGATCATATACTATAATTGGCGAGATCAAAATTGAATGAGATGGTAACCTAGAAGAACAAAAGAAGGCTTTAGAATACAAGGTGCTTAGAAAAAATAGCCTATGTTATGCATCTTCTGATGGACAACCAACACTGATAGATAGAATGTGATATATATTTGGTCCTAGTTAAAAGAAACAAAGTTGAAGTGTGGATATGATAGTTGTTCAAAGCCAATCTTTTGGAGCAGAAACAAGCCATCAATGTTATTTTTTATATGAAAATCATCATAATAGGAGGGAATAAATTTATTATTTTGCCACAAGTATAGCATATGTTATTTTTTATTTGTGTTAGCGAATGAAGTAGGCATTAACAAAGATGATGAGAAATTTATGATCGATATATCACAAATTTTGAAGGATTAAATGGGTAACAGCTACCAAAGAGAAATAGGTTAACATTTATTCACAAAGTGGATTGAGAATTTTGAAATATTAGCGGCATGTACTTGCGGGAGGAATTTTTCTTAAGGTAAGGAGGTAATTGTATGATTAATTGCTTGTATGTTAAATTCTATGGGGAAAATGGTCAAAGAAGTTGGAAATTATTTTGAAAGATTTGATTGAAATTATATTGGATAAGATCAATTGGAGTGGAATTAGATTTTAAAAGTTGAAAAAAGAAACCAATGTGCTTTAGTAATGATCTGGTGCGATACAAATGTGAATTTATTCTATTCGATAGAAGCTAGATTTTGTTAAATAGAAATCAGCTAGTGAGATGCTTTATTGGCTTGATCCCAATTATTTTGCATCGGTTTATGAGTCTTCTACTTTCATTCTTATTGAGTGACATGAATTTATACTCTATTTTAGTATTTTGTACAATTCATGTTTCTAAGTGCTCTATATGTTATTTTTTGTCAATCTATTTTCTTCTTTAATCTTTCACATTAATTTATTTACTTATTTTATTAGGATATCATCTATCCTATAATGTGCTTGCCTGAATCACTTAGTCTATTTTTTACAACATTATCTATAATATGTGCTAATCTAATAATTCCTCTTATATATTATTTGTCGATGGATCATTCCTTGTTTTAACACAACCATATTAACAATTTAATTTTTATCACACTCAACTTTATTTTTAGTCTTTTTGTTCCCTAAAATCTGGATGTTACATTGCTGATCTAATTGATATTATGAAAGTTGTGTTCTCATCTCAATGATATTCTTATCTCATCGTACTACAGAGTTACTTATCCATGTTAAGGACCCAACTTTAACTTGAGAGTTGAGAAGTTATAACTTATCTATATTTTCATTGTTTATAATTTTTTTCACACTTAAAGCTTCCAATGACCCGGTTAGGAGAGTAGAGGTATTAGATTTGACTTATGTTAAGAAAGGTAGTGGCAGACCTAAAAAGACTTGGTTAGAAAATATTAGGAATGATCTTTCTTTATTAGATTTAAAGGAGAATTTGATCTTTAAAAGGATACAATGGAGAAAAAGGATTTATGTAGCCGACCCCAAGTAGTGGGATAAAGGCTTGATGTTTTTGTTGTTGTTGTTGTTAAAATATCACTTGATTTTTCAATAATATGTATTGATAATTATTGTTTCACATCTATCAAATTGGATATCATATAATTCTAAAGCCTTTCTCTATTTTTATAACTTTTAACTTAATTTTAAAAGACATTTACCATTAAAATTGTTCAACTCCAGTTCACTTAAAATGTTTGTTTTTTAAGCATCTTCATAATGAATACAAAAAGACAAATTTAATGTTATTCTTGAGGAATTCCTACTAAGACTATTTTTTTTTAAACTCCCAATGACTTCTACTTTGACACTCATATCTTTAATAATTTTAACATCTTTTTTACACACATTTTTTTCTCGTAAATGACTTAAAAAAGTAATTCTCATCATTGTTTAAAATTGCGTAATATGAGGCTCGTCTTGAGGCCCGCCTTAAGGCACGCCTCGAGGCTTACACCTCGAGCTTTTTCTATGAGGCTTACGCTTCATCTTGGATGAGGCCCGCCTTAAGGCACGCCTCGCCTCGCTGGCATGAGTCGTACGCCTCTCTATTTATAAATTTTTTTATTTAAAACTTGCCTAAATCCTATACAAAAGCCCAAAAAAAATCATGTCTTCTTCCACCCCCAAGCCGTAGCAACTTCCTCTGAATTGCCTCGACCTCCAACCCACTACCTTCAACGTAGCCTCCACCATCGTAGCCGCTGCAAGGGATCAATAGAAAGCCGCATGCCACACCATCTCTTAAAATTTGGGAGTATTATGTTTATGTTAATGATAAACATTTATGAAAGATGAATATGACTTAAATAGATGAACTGATGAAGAAGAAGAAGAGATTGAGAGGTATTTGATCCTACAAGATGAGACAGGGAAGAGAATAATTTGTTATGACAGTGACTCAAATAAAAATCCTAGTACATATGATTTTTGAGTTGTTGCCAATTATTTTAGCTTTCTTTAGTAATTAAACGTAGATGACTAAGCAACTGAGAAAGCAAAAAAACTAGAGTTAAACTTGATGTTATAAGATACTTTTATGCAATTTGTATATTTTATATTATTTTGTTCATGTAATATTTGGATTTCAATTCTATTTCATATCATTTTTCATTTAACATTTTACATCTTATACAATTTTTTGTTTTATATGTATGTAAATTTGTTACTTCAAAGTTCAATAGAAAGTTAATATGTCATCATTTAATATATTTTTTGGATATTATATAAAAAAATAACTTTTAACTTTTATTTTTATTTTACGCAATTTTTAGATTTTGATGCTTACGTCTCGCCTCACAAATAAAAAACGCCTCAATACCCAATTGCGCAATTTTAAACCTTGATTCTCATCCAACATACTTTCATGAGGAGATCATTAAAACAAAGTGGATAATTATCATGACCTGTTATATTTCCCGTGTTATATGTATAGCCAAAAACAGATGGCATAAACAAGTCAAATGAGATTTTCAAGATGGATATGCAGTATTAAAAAGTATTAATTGAGAAATGACGTTAAGTCATTAAGCCAAACAAAGCACGTGATTAACTTCTGCTGAGGAGAGCATTTTTATCATCCTAACTTCTACTGAAAAGATTGAGATGTTTGGGGCCTGTACATAGAGATGGTAGGGGTCGAATAGATGTGTATGGTTGGGAGAAACTGTTGGCCAATGTTATCATGGTCGGAGATTATTTAGAAAGATTGGCTGAAATAATTAAAGACAAATGCTCCTTTAAGTGGAAACAAAGGGTGAAGAAGTGAGGGAAGAAGTTTCAAAGAGCTTGGCACCAAACCGACTAAGATGATGGCAGCGTTGTTCATTAACATTTTACTTTTTCTGCTTCATTCAGTAGACCTATTTTAGGTTGTTTTGGTAGAGAAAAAGAAATAATATTCTAAGAGGACATGAAGTTGAAAATCCAACTCCAAACTGTTCTTCAATCACACAATGCATTCAAATTGTTCCCGTTTCTACTTTTCTACTTATTTCTGTGCATGCAAATTCTTTCTTGTAAAAAAGGTTCTGCACTGACTACCTTTTCCAGTGTTTTTTTGACACTCCAGGACTCATGATTGGACATCATGGATACCCTTACAGAACAGATGTTAAAGTTCGTGTTGAAAGTGCTTGGAGCTCTATCGATTTGTATGATTTGTTGATAGTTATCTTTGATGTCCACAGGCATATCACCAAGTAATTATCCTTGTTACATATACTTTCTCATTTATTGTCATCTAATCTTCTTGAGGTTGGCCACTTTGAGCAATCGAAGCTGCTGGTGGCTACTTCGTTTTGAATTCAAATATTTGAACCGTCTGTTAAACTATTTCCCTTTCAAGTTTTAAATGAATAATAAGCTATAGTTCACCTTTTATTTTAAGCATGACCACATTTTTTATCCATAAAACACTTGTATGCTTAAATTAAATGCAAGTTCAGTAGGGTTGTGCTGTTTATGGAAGTTTCAAGAGAGAGAGCGAGGATTGAGATTCTTGAGAAAGTGAGAGAGAGAGAAGGAGATATAAGAAAGCTTCAATTTTCAAATCATCATCAATTTATTCAATTATAAGCCTTGAATACTGTTTTTTTTTTTTTT